GGGGACGAGCATGTGTGGTGTGACGGGATTCGAACCCGCGATCCATAGGTTGCGAGTCGAACGCCCTAACCACCTGGCCATATCGGGCCAGGAACGGTTAGCGCAGATAGCCGATGCATAGTTTAGCGCTAGTATTCGAAACAATCTCCTTACTGCATGAAAGCATCCATAAATTATTTATATATTTTTATAAGACTCATAATTAAACCCGCGACCCTCAGATTGCCGTCAAGCGCCCGAACCACCTGGCCATGCCAGTATAAGGACGAATATTTTTATTTGTTGTTAAGCCCAAAGCTACACAATGGATTATCTGTGATGTGCTCACCACCGGTATCGAAATCCAGTTTTTAACGTTATAAGCCTTCAGACTTTTCGCTGAGCCACTGGGGAGAAAGGACGCACAAAAAAATAAGTGTTCGGGTAACCAAATATATCTTGCTTATTACACGGATGTACGAGAATTCTGACGTTATTAAATCTGTGTTCATGACGTGCAGAAATTAGAACTGTGGTATTTGCTAATACTTAGGAATGACGAGGCTCGTGAGTCTAAAAGTAATTAAATTTTCTAAGAGCGACTATAATTTACAAGTAATTAAATTCGTATAGACTTTTTGTTTTTACTTTGGATTCTAGTATAGAGCTTATTCGTTAAAAAGGAAAATTTTATAATATGCTGTACACAATTTACGCTGTAAGTGTTACATGTTAAGACCACTGAAGAAGAAGAAAATTATTTTAATTAGTGGGAGGAGTCTGAATGTCCAATATCTTGCAAACCTTTCAAGGTAGGAACATTCCAGTCTCCTTGCTTAACGTTCAAATATATGTTCAAAATGTTAAAGTAAAAGTTCGGAAAAGAAGAAGAAAAAAAAACACACACACAGGACTCTCTTTTGATACCCCAATTAAAATTGTTTAGAGGGAACCAACTTAAAACAACATGTAAAACTAAATGTGCTGTTTATCAAAGTATATTTGAAATAACTATTAATTTTACTCTTCCATAACTAGTTTAAAATATATCTGTAGTAAGCTATAGTCGGATAACGTTTGTAAATTATCACGTAGGCTTATAAAACAGATGTAGAAATGTCATAAACAAATGATAATTCCTTTGCTGGTAGTTAAGGCGTTTGTCTCTCAATCTGCTGGTCACGAGATCGATACTCGTCGCCGAACGTGCCAGTCTTTTCAGTGTTGTGGCGTTATAATATGATGGCCAATCCTACTATTAATTTGTAAAGACTAGCCCAAGAGTTGGCGGTGAATTGTGTTGACTAACAGCCTTTTCTCTAATTGATCATTTCAAAATTAGGAACAGCTAGCGAAGATAATCCTCGAGTAGCTTTGCGCTAAATTCAACAACCAAACAAACCTTTTGCTTAGGTAAAAGTTAAATACGACAACGTCTATTTCATGGAACTTATACCAGTTTGACTCTGTGTCTGTGTCAACTCCCTGAAATGAGCAAGCACACTTCAAGGAATGACAGAATTGTGAATTTTCTCCGTTGAATATGCTACTTAGAATAGTCTTTGACGTTAATAATGTAATGATTGTGAGATTTCGCACTAGGATTATTTTGTCTGACTTGAAATTTCGACATTTCATTCTTATTCCTCTTCTTGTCTTGTGATATTTGAAAAACAACTAAATAGTCTGAGCTTAAACTAATTCTTTTTTTTTCTGCGCTAAAAACAATTCATGCTTTGAGCTGCCTCTGAAGGCTGCCATATACATCGACGTATTTAAGTTCCAGACGTTCTACAGATACAATTTCTGTACAGTCAGTTTTTTGTACTTATTAACCTGTCAGTGCTAGACAACTTGGATATTAATCTTTCTGTCTAAATCGTCGTTTTATGTTTTCCCCACTTTAAACCGAATATGTTGAACATTATTTATAAATAAAGCCCAAGTATAATAGCATAATTACCAAATCTTTGGTTCGAATTTCGCCCAGTGTCGATTTTCACCTTCTCATAACATAATAAACTTTTAGAAGAGACAGTTTTAGTTTCAGCTTATTATAATGTTTTTGCTAATACATTATGTGGTAAAGATATATTAAACCCGAGTTTGGATTTTTCTTTATCTCCATGTTGACTAAACAATAACAAAAATGTACAGATTTACTAAATAAATAAATCATGTTAGATTGCTGTTATACTGGAATGGGTTCTGAAATACAGTTATGTTTTCGTGTGGTTTGTAATAACAGTCTGTGTAGTATTAATAAAAGTGATTCCTACAGAATAGCCCCCCAGTAGCACAGCGGCATGTCTGCTAGAATCAGGGTTTAGATAACCGTGGTGGGCAGAGCACAGATAGCCCACTTTGTAGCTTTGTGTTTAATTACAAACAATCCTACAGAATAATTAAGTAGATTTACTATCTGGAATTATTTTTATGTGAAGTTAGTGTTCTAAAACATAGCCCAATTGAAATACTTTTACATATATATCTGACGTCCATGTGAATCCGCCTTATTTAATTACTAGAAGTCTTGCATTGACTTCATGCAATGAAGTGGTAATATATGTATTTATTCTCCATAGAGTCTTTCTAAAGGAAAACAGAATCGATGTTCCCAGCTTCTATGTCGTAAAGTGGAATTAATGGCAATACTTGAAATGCTTTCTAGACTCAGCGTGCTGTATGTATAATAAGATGTTACCACTCTTATTCTGACTTGTCTCGTTGAGACCTAATGGTTTTGGCGACTAAAAAGTTTGGATTTCGCTAAGTGAGCCTCTTTTTCTCTCTCTCTCTCGAGAACCGTATGCAAGGCCTTGAAGTGGCTCGCTTTTCATACCAGGCTACTGAATGCGTTGTACCTGGAGTCAGTCATTCTGCATTTTCTTTAATGCTTTAGTTTTGTCGTTGTAGACTAAAACCACAACTAAGTAGCAGGGCACGGAACCAGCGGGTTGTGAAGTGACGAAGTTAAGGAACGCTTGTCTACACACGTCAAGGCTAGACAGGTTTATAGGAGTGACAGGGAATATGTTTCCTTTACAAGAATCCGCCGTATTTGTGTAGGAATGTTAGGAAGAAAGTAGATGGACAAAAAGACACAGTGGGATTGTGTTGGTTAGAATCCAGTTTAGTTGACACCCAGACCTTAGTAATTCAGGCTGGAAAAAAAAAGTACACGTTTGGTTACATTACAAAGACCAAAGGAACCAGTGCAAACGTACAAAGTGAAACACCCAGATTTCAACAATTGAAAACTTTATCTTTTGAACAGTAGGTTTAAAAACAACTAAAAAAAGTCTTAACTGTTCAAAATGAAGCAGCTTGATTTTAACAATTATTTTTTTCCCTTTTGAACTATAAATTTAAAAACAATTAAAAAATCTTTACTGTTAAAAATGAAGCAGCTTGATTTTAAAAATTGAAAATTTTTTCCTTTTGAAGTTTAGATTAAAAAACAATTGAAAAATCTTAACTGATGAAGCAGCTTGATTTTAACAATTGAAATTTTTTTCCCTTTTGAACTGTGTAGTTAAAAACAATTAAAAATATTTTACTGTTATTTATGAACCAGCCTAATTTTGAAGTATGTATTTAGAAAGAATTAAGAAAAGTTCATTATTTCATGGTTTTTGGCATCACTTGAGCCTGTCATTAAACTTTTCCATATCATGATGGTTTGGTAGAAAATCTTTGTAAAGATTTAAATTTTTGTATCATTGTGTTATTCTTTGTTGCCATTTTAGAGGATAAAGTTTTGTACAAATATGTAACATTGGTTATGAAAATGTTTTTCTGATTACAAGCAGTAAGTACTACTTTTTAGCATTACTCAAAGTTTATCTTGCATTTCATGTATTCTAGGCTGATTCACTGATATTAACACCATCAAGTATTTCAAATTGTGTATCAAAAGGCAAATCTAAAGTAAGTTATTAATAATTTTTACTCTCAACATATATGTAGTTTCCTTAGTCTAATGCCATTCAATTTAGTGTTTTTTTTATCATTTTGATTATCTTTTAATAATGTGTTGTGTAATTAAAATATCTTAAGAGTAATTTGCGTATGTATTCATAAAAGCATAGGAACTGAAAGCCATTAATTAATGTAATATTTGCATGTGAAGTTTGTTCTCAGTGGCACTTGTATTTGTTAGCCTTCATATTGTCATAGCTGAAATAACCACAAACTTTACTTTTCCATAGTTAATATTGAATATAACTTTATTCAGTTATAATTAGATAATTGTTCTAAACTTCCATGCACATCTACTTATAGTCATGAGGCATTCTTGATGTTGACAGGTTTTAAACATGTGCTACTCTTTTATCATAGGTAAAGGACTTAAAATTACATATGGCAATAGCCATATCATAGAAGCTTTTATCAGGTTGGCCTTTTGTCTGTTTCACTTCTTTGGGTGGGGCAAGCCCATCTCAAGGGGTGACACAGATACTCATACAAATTGGTATGAGTTGGGTATCTCTCCCATAAATATATAATTTCTAATAGTTAGTGAAATAGGTAACATATGGAGTATGGGATGCTGCTCTTGGATCCTTTGTCTGACTTGAAATTGCATTATAGTTTGATTTTTTAGAAATGTGTGTGTCCTATGCATATATGTGAAACACCTGTACAACCTCAGCAGCTAGTTAGAGTTATAATGAATAAGAAGCTGGTCAGTTGGTAATAAACGTGTGCTTTTGTGAATAAAAGTCTATTTGTTCACTATTGTCTCTTTTTCCTTTGCTGTATATGTTCCATTTATTCTCTGTGTAATAATTCTAGCATTTTAATTTTGCAGATACTTTAAACTTATTTGTGGGACATCAGTTTATCTAAATTCCACAATTTATTTTAATATCATGTGTAGAAAATCATGTCATAATTGAGCTATTAAGATTGAATAGACATTTCAAATTTGTGACATTTAAAAATAGTAAAGCTAATCTAATTTGTTTTGGGGTTAGTACTATGACTGTAGAAATCACATCAGAGTTATTCAGCCAGTTGGTGAAGGAAACAAGTTGTATGTTTGTGGAACAAATGCATACAACCCCATGGACTGGATTATTCATGTAAGTTTATCAGTTAATGATTAAACTGTGTTGTTTATGGAAAATCATAAGGTAATGGTTTGGAATATAAAGAAGTTTATCTCTGAAAGAAAGCTTAAACATCTTGACATCTGATGAATGTAGGAAACTTCGTATAAAGGTTTTTCTGTTTCTTTGGGACCTTTCTTCCCTGTTAATTTGAACACAAGTCATTGTGTGTGTGTGTGTATTTATTTCTGTTGGAAGTGTTACCTAATTCAACCTCACTTGTGAACTGATATACAGTAACAAATCATGGTAGATGTCACTCATACTTAGCTTTAAAAGTAGAAGTATCCTGAGTGTTGTAAATATAGCTTGCAAACATTTTTTTTCAATACAAATTGGGATGTTAATATTGTATGAATTGCCTGTTTGTATAACTTTTTCAATTGCATTTTGAACCAAGAAAAAAAATACCATTTCAGTCAGTAGGACCATCATTTCTAGTGTCCATGTGAAATAATGTTAGATAAATACAAACAAATAAGTAAAAGCAAAAAAAATAATTAAGAACTAAATTAGTTGCTTATAGAAGTGCTTTAGTTATATTTTGAACCAGAAAAATGGTAACATTTCAATCAGTATGATCTGTATTTCTGAAAATTGTCATAAGTATGGATAGTTTACATACTACACATATCAAATCATAAAATAAGAACAATTTGTTTGAGAATGGTTAAACGAAAAATACACAGTAACTAATAAACTGAAAAGTAAAAATGGTTGCTGCTTACAGCTTGCTTCCCTATGGTTGATAGTTTGAAATTAGGGATGTTATATGCTACCGAGACTATGTTTTGGTTAGTGCTCCTCTAGTGTGCAAATAATATAAAGTATGAATCATCCAAAGCAGAAAATATTCTTTAAATGATAAGTGGTACGTGAAACTAACCTTCTTGTTTATGATCAAATACTTTTTTGTCTTCGTTTTTCTTTCTTTTCATTATGATTTCAAGTAGAGAAAAGTATGTCTGGGATCTTCCGAAGTCAATGGTAATGGAAGAAACCTTAATTTATACTAGTATTGTAGATCTTTTTTCACAGTTAATATGTCTAAAAATAATTTCTTTTGTTCACTATGATAAATATTATAGTTCTTTTATGCCGTAAGCTGTTAAGACTCCAGTGTTACAGTATCAGAAGTATATATTATACAAATGATTTAAGTGTCAGTATTTTTATACCTGGTTATATCTTTAGTTAAATGATCTAGAAAGACTCAATTTTATATTGATCAGTTTTTGTTCTCTCTTGTTTTTATTTTGTGAATTAATAGTTATTATGGTTATTTTCAAGTAGTTTGACATTTTGTAAATTGATGGGAGAAAATGAGTATATAAGTTTTTGTAGTAGATTGATCCTGCTAAATACTTTTGTGTTACTTGTAGCCATTCTGCAATAATTTTTAGCTACTGCTCTCTGTGTCATAGAAATGTTAAAATATCTCTTGGTATGCATCACTATCAATCTGGATCTCTTCAGACATTGCTATTGTTCAAATTCCTGAGAACATACCATTTCATTCACATTTCTAGATAAATGAAATGTGAATGCCAATTACATGACAGACCTAGTTTTGCATAAAAAGGGTGTCATTATTTAATAACATTAGCTGTGGCTTGTCATAGTTCGAATATAGAAAACTCTGTTGATCCTTTAATTTTGTTTAACAGTTAAAGCTATAAATTTACGTAACACTTTGTTTAGTACCTAATATTAAACACATTAGTATGTTTTCAAACTGTAGTTATAATGAAGATGTATAAATTGTTGCTGCACAGTAACTTTTCATGGAAAATAAACACTGATGAACTTAATTTACTTCATTTAGACTTACTTTCAGGCCATACTGCAGTTTCCTGGAAACCTGGACAACTCATACAGTTGTTAATAATCCTTTAAGACAACTATTACTTCACAATAGCATAACTAGCATACCTAAGTTCAGAGTAGTGACCGGATGACAAGTCAGCAAGCAAACATCAGAATTATGTTTGGCTTTATGAAGGATATTCAAGTGGCATGCATTCCTCTAATTACAACCGAACTCGGGGGTGTCATTGAAATTATTCAATGACAGTAACTGTACTTTGTCATAGCTAGAATATAGAAAACCCCAGTTTTCACTTATGTCTGTTGAGTAGTGTATAATGCGACTGATATGAATTTTAGTTATTTTAAATGATTGGAAAAAAAAAGAATCAAGTTATAATTGTTTGAAGTACGTTTATTATAAAATGAATACTAAAACTCGTAAGAGTACATGTAGCTGAAGGACTAAGACATGTTGCAAAATGAAAACAAATGTTTATGTAATTTAGGTTTAATAAACAACACGTACATGTGTTTAGAGCAACAGTTCTCAAACGTCTTTTTTTTTATCTTGGTGGACCACAGTATTTTTTCACTTCCTTTCTGTAATTATGTCCTTTCTGTGGACCACTTGAAAGGAACCTGCAGACCACAGATTGAGAACCACTGGTTTAGAGCTTTAAGTTACTAGTAATATTTTCTTCTTTAGGGCTGTTCACTCCAAAAAGTAGGTTTTGATACCAGTCACAGAGTACATATAGCCCATTGTGTACCTTAACAGAAAACAGACAAAAAACAAACTGTACACAGTTATTAAATTTTTTATGCAAAAGATTTATTCTAACACTATCATTAATGCTACTGTAGCTTCAGTTTTCATATACCAGTTCCAATAATTTTCTAATTTTTAGTGTTTTAACTTGATGTAGAATATGAATTTTTCTCTGCTTATGCTTAAGTCTGGATTTTGTTTTGAGTAGCTTAATATTTCATGGTAGGTACCATTAGGTTGTAATTATCACCCTACTATGATTATTTTTAGGAGTTTGGAATAGGTATGGCCTAGTGGTTAGCAAGCTTGGACTGTGAATCTGTGAATTAATGATTCATGTCTTATTGTTACAAAAAATATACTCCAAACTTTTATTTATAAAAGTGATTTATAAAAATGATTGTCATATCCTCCTGTTCAGTCAGACAAGAGTAGTCCAGGATTTGGTAGAGTGTACTGTTCACTAGCTTCCTTCTGTATAATCTATCTGCTTAAAATTAGAATGACTGTACACAAATAGCTTTTTATAAAGATATTCAGTTTAGAAGTTTTTCCATCTTATTTTTACTAAGTGGCATAAAAATAATTGGTGACTATTAATGTGAAGTATCATGTTTTTTTTGTGAATAAAGGTAGAATAACAGTTGAGTTGAGCTGACAATTTCCTTCCAGCCAACTCATTGTGATAACAGCTTGTTTTACCATTTATACCCCCAGACACATGAATGAAATTACACTTTATTTATTCTTTGCCTTTAGGCCAATCTTTCACATTTAGGGCGACATGAAAATTACCCTGGTATTGGGAATGGAATTGCCAAGTGCCCGTTTGATCCAGAGGATAATGCAACAGCTGTATGGGTCGGTAAGTCTCTTTCTTTTTTTAAAAAAAGAGAGAGAGAAAATGAGAGGTGTGAAAAAAAAAAAGATCTTATGAAGTTTTGAGTTGTTAGAATCGAATGATGTTATTTACCCAAAGTTAGATTTTCATGTAAAAACTTTAATCCTTTTTTTTTAGAGGATTTATAGCTAACCATAGGTATACTTCCCAAAATGCTGAATTTTTAGTTTCATGTGTGTTTTTTAAGTTTTTCTAGACTTACATAGGTATAAAATAGCTACAAACTTTTAATCAGTCAATTTCTACTTATTTATTGTCTTACTAAGACATGAACAATATTTCATATCAGAAGATACTGACGATAATTACACATGATATGCATCTAGCAGCGATTATCAGGATAGGAGGACAAGATCCTAGAGGGTTCAGTGTTTATGTTCCTTGGAGTGGGAGTTGATCTTGTGGTAAAGCTTTAGGTTTAAGAGCTGGCCGGGTTCTAATGCATGTAATATCACAAAATATTCCATGGAATTTAAGCATTATAAGACTTAGAGTGACATTCAATATTTAACTGTTTTTTGGCATGGAATCATATTATAAATATACACAACTGTTTCATTTAAATTTAATAGGAGAGTTATTATTTACATAGTCATAAAGTGTGAATGTTAAATATAGTATTTTTTAGAAGCAATATTTATAACAGGTTTGATTACATAACTGTTTATGAATCATTTGTTGCATTGTTCAATTATTGTGAATTGACATCATGTTACTCGAACCTTCTGAATTTTTCTCATTGTTTTAAGTGAGTATTGTTAAATCATAATCATAATAGAAAGTTCTAAACCTCAGTTGGGCAATATATATATATATAGGCGATCAAGTTAGTGTAAAGTAAGTTAAATTAGTGAAAGCAAAAGTAAAAGTGAAGTTAAACTGTGAGTGAGTTTAGCCATAATGGGGAATTTCTAAAGTGAGTTTCACAGCTTGTATTGTAATAACAGAGATAAAGGAGAATAATTTGTCTTGTCAAAGGGTGTTTTAAAGTAATCAAACTGCTTGTGTGGACTTGGACAAAAAAAGAGATAATTATTTAAAGCTCAGGATATAAGTGCAATAACCAATAGTGTGACAAATTTTGGTACATGTGTTTGACTTGTTTTGAATATATTATTTTAAAATTGAAATTTATTTGAAATTTATCACTAACAAGTCATAGACACCAAATGTATAGATTCTGGCCCTATAAAACCTGACAATGTACCTTCTAAAATAAATCTTAGATGTCAATTATTATTAATACTTTTTATCTTTTCAATTTTTACAGATGCCACTTGAAACCCTTATAACTTATCATTATAGAAGAAAGGATTGAGAGATATATCTTTTCTTACATTAGAAATACATTTTTAATACATTTACCACTTATTGTATTGCATTCAGAAACTACTTTGGAAACAAAGAAGACACTGAGTATTGGTGAAACATTGGTTTTCTTTCTGTGGAACACTGGCTAAGCAAAAGTCAAATTTTGTTCGTATCCGCAGCTTTATAAATCCTACTATACTCAGTTTTTTGTGTTTTTTTTTTCATTATGACTATTTCATTTAGTTTGGGGTTGGCTAGTATTTTTGTAAGCCAATAATTTTTACACCCAGGTGGCTGACATAGTCAGTAACCATATAGTACAAGCATGTGTGGTGATGGGAATTTGAACTTGTGACCCTCAGATTGCAAGTCAAACACCCTAATCACCAGGCCATGCTAGGCCCACTATATTCTGTGATGTTGTTATAATCCCCCCAGTGGGTATGGGGTAGTGCGGACAATACACTAAATGAAATCATCTATCATTTATCAATCACTCCATTGTACCTTAGGTGTGGAAAGTAATAATTTCATCATGCTCAAAAATACATAAATAAGTAAGAAAGCTTTGCTTAAGTTTTGAAGTTGTGTAATTGTCAATTTGAATGCAAGAGTGTTATTACCTTAAAATATAAAATTAAATTCATGTCTGAGTACTTTTTTCATCCCTATATTCTTCTTGTAACTCAATATTTTTATTTCAGAACATGGAAATCCAGGAGATCTTCCAGGGTTGTACAGTGGTACTGTAGCTGAGTTCACCAAGGCTGACACTGTTATATTTCGCACAGATCTTTATGACAGTTCAACAGGAAGAAGATTATATCCATTCAGTCGAACAATTAAGTATGACTCCAAGTGGTTGGACAGTAAGTGTAATTACTGTTTTTCGACAAAAAAAATTAGTGGGTTTAACGCGTTGACTGCTGACTCTTATAGAATACATCTATCCCATTTAACACGTTGAATGCTGACTCGTATAGTGTACATCCATCCCATTTGCTTAGTCAAGTATGCATATAAATATGCTTTATCTTCAAATTTTACCCTTTCATGAGTAATAATAAGTTCATTTCTAATACATTGGTGGGGAATTACCATGTTACGAAAAACTCAGATTTTCAATTCTGTATGCTTGGTACGAGTTATCTTGTAGCACTATTATTAGTGCTAAACTGACTTTGGTACTAAGTTTCTGCAGTTGGCAATCATGTGCTATGTACCACGTGTATTTTTTGTTGCTACTGTCATTACCCTTTAAAATGGCACTTGTGAATGCAGATCAAGTTGCAAAGCTTCTAAAAGAAACTGATAATGTTGACAATTATGATCAATTACTGGATATTATAATCACAGAAACAAACCAACATGCAGCAGTCAAAATAACCAAACGGTGACCATTGCAAAGAGAACCGTGAACAAAATACTGAAAAGAAACTGATGCAACAGAAATGAAAAAGTTTCCAGCCTTGTTGATTCACATGGTTCCAAACAGTCCACCTACCTTAGAGCATTACTGGAGTACTGATATTTTATACAAAACATCACTTCACAGTGGTGTTATGAGCCACAACTGCTTTCAAATGCTCTTACGTTTTTTGGCATTTCTCAGTCAATTCCCAACCCCAAGATGATCGTTTATATAAGATACGACCTCTCCTGGGTCACTTCAGTAATGAAATGGTCCACATTTACTACGTAGGAAAAGATTTGTGCATCAAATAGTCCATGGTATTTTGGCATGGCAGGCTTTTGTTTCGACAATATATAAAAAATAAACGCCATAAATATGGAATCAAATTATATGCAAATCACGTGGTCTGGTGCTGAAAATCAGTCTTTACTCTGGAGCTTCCCTTGATGAAGTTACCAGTTTGAAAAAAAGCTGCAGCTGTTATACTTGATCTGATAGCTGATAACCTGGACAAAGGTCATGTTTTATACACAGATAATTATTAAAATTCTGTGGGTCTGGTGAAAAACTGACTGAGCAATCAACTTATGTATGTGGAACACTCTGGTTTGATTGTAAAGAAAATCCAATGGATGTGGTTAGGAAGAAGTTGAAGAAGGAGGAACATGAATGGAAACAGTTGGAATCAGTGGTAGTTTGTAAATGGAAGGACAAACGGGGCATGCCCACAATTAACAACATGCACAGAATGGAGATAGTTGTTGTCACAAAGTGAAATAGTAAAGTTTTGAAGAAACCCAATATTGTCTGCAACTACAAGAATGGCATGTTAGGAATAGATAGATCTGACCAAATCTTGTTGTATTACTCAACTCTACGAAAGATCGTACAATTCTATAAGAAAATTGCCATTCACATGATCGAAATATTTATTCTGAATGCCCACATCTTGTACAATGAAAATAAGGTACAGCAAATGAAACTCTTGAAGTTTCATGAACAGGTAACAATTCATCTGCTAGGAAATATCATGGCAGATCTTCAAAGCCAGGATCGACATACAACTCCAACTCCAGAAGATGAAGTGTTTCACTACCTCACATGTTTGCCACTCACAGAAAAGAAAGAGAAGCCAACCAAACCATATTGTGTCTGCACAAAAGCTGGGAGGAGATGAGAAAGCCACTACATGTGTGACATCTGCCCTGAAAAACAAGCCCTCTGTGTAGAAAATTGCTTTAAGCAATACTATGTGCCTCAATACTGGACAGATAAACAAGAAGACAGAGAAACATTTGTAATCATTTGGACATTATTTTTTTTTGTGATTTGGTTGTGATGTGAGAACTTATTAGTTCCTGTAACATTGAAAGAACAAAATCACATATTTTGAAAAAGTTTATTGATTATCAATTGCTTATTGATTCAGACCTGATCAAACAATGCCATGGATCATGTAGAATAACCATATTTCAGTTATAATCATTTATTTTCTCATTGTAACCATCTCTTCTTGAAGTGAGCTTTGTGGAGATATCGTGTTTGCACACCTTAGTGAATTTCAGTAGTGCATATAATGATACAATACATATTTGATCATGATTATTACATAGATTTGTATTCCCCAAACTTTCAGCAGATTATTTGTTGCATTATCTGGGATGCCAGCATTATTATATTTACTGTACAATAGCGTAATCTTTTCTATGAGTTTACTCGTAGTGGCAGAATCTGGTACACCCGGCACTATGAGTTTACTTGTGGCAGTCAACGTGTTAAGTATCATGCTTGCATAGTTTATGTCATGCAAAAAATATAGGTTGTTATTCTTGATTATGCTGATATGCTGAAGTCTAAGAAAGAAAGAGTAGTAGATGATGAAAGTGGCAGAGATGTGGATGTTGAGGTGGATCACTGCATAAGGAATGAAACCATTAGGGAGAGGGTGAAAGTAGTACCAGTTATGGAGGAGGTGAGAGCAACTTTCTTTAGACGGTTTAGTGATGTGGAAAGAAGAGAAGAGGAATATATAGTGATAAATATGACAGTGGAAAGGAAAAGAACAAGAGGAAGATGGAAGAAAAGGTGGATGAATATAGTGAGAGAGGACATGAGAAAATGTGGTATGAACACAGCCTCTGACACAGAATAGGAAGGAGTGGAGGGCAAGAAGGAAAAGTAGATCCCAAGTACCTGGGATAGATTCTTGATTATATTGATTATATACTGTTTTTAATGATTTTACAAGAAATGTAATGTTTTTTTTATGTGCAAAGTTGTATTAGTGATTCTAGAAAAATGATATAAGATAAAAGTTAGATAAATCACAAAATAAAACTCTGTTACTCAACCACTTCTTAAAGTATTTAGGTTATTAGGTTTGTTATTTTTTTAAAACCAACTACATAGATCCTGTACCTCAGCTTACTTGGCTATTTTGTGACATACTGTGTCACATGTACTATATTTCCCACCTATTTTGGCACTCTTAGTGAAACATACTGAGATCTAAAACTTAATTTTGCCATCTTGTATTAAAGTGTTGTTCTTTCTCTTCAGAGCCCCAGTTTGTTGGTTCTTATGATATTGGAGACTTCGTCTATTTCTTCTTTCGAGAGAGTGCTGTGGAGTATATCAATTGTGGAAAGAGTATTTATACTCGTGTAGCTAGAGTTTGTAAGGTGAGAGAATAACATGACTTCAAAGATATTTGATACATACATTTTTCTTTCTTTGTGTTGTATTATAATAAGTCTTGAAAATGTTTCATTTTCATCTTTGTAAAACAAATTTTTAAGTCCTTCAATTATACACTTTTAAGTCTTATTTAATAATAATATAAGTTGATAATTATTTCTCAAAATTTTTCTCTGATTAACTTTCATAATAATAATCAGGCATCATTTTTAGTTGACATGCAATTTTTTTCTTTTTTTGCTATTTTTCTGGGTATTTAACAATTTACTAGCTGATTGACATCTTTAAGATTCTCATAAATCACCTTTGTGGAAGGCGTAGAAATATTTTAGGTTTTACTTCTGTTTAAAGATTAAAAAGGCTTAATGTTGATTTAGTGTTAATTTCATATTTTTAATCAAACAGTTACACATTAAATTTTATTACTTCTAATTTATTGCTATTTTTGAAATGTAGCTAATTTCTAATTTATAAAATGTTTTCAACACAAGAACTGTATTGTGTTTTTCTAGCGAGATACAGGGGGAAAGAATATTCTTAACAAGAACTGGGCATCTTTTGTGAAAGCACGCCTGAATTGTTCAATTCCTGGAGAGTTCCCATTTTATTTTAATGAAATCCGTAAGCTATTTTGCTCAATTTTAATCTGATATCAGTCAGTTCAATAAATTAACTACTTACATATTAGATTTTGTGTTAACACTTTTATAACCAGTCATTTACCATACTCTAAAATTGTTGTTAGTTGATGTAGCGCTTATAGGAGAATTGTTGTTTTTTTTGTATATTGGATAGAGTAAAGAGTAAAGTAATATTGTGGATAGTATCACACTATACTTATTTGGGTCATTCCCTAGACCAGAAACTGTAAGAATTTTATAGACTCAATTTTTATTTAGCAACATTGATTAAATTAGAAACAAGTTGTGGTTTAAAGATATGTCTGCATGAACTTATAGAACCTTCATAAACTTTCAAACTTTACCTCAGGCATACTTAGTTGTTCATTGAAACATACAGATATGGATGGTAATTAACAAGGTAAAACATTTAATTTCAAAAACTAGTTCCGAGTGGAGGAACATTATTGCGATTCATGAAAGAAACATTATAAAAGTTATTTAGCTATATGTATAGATATTATAAAGTACAGCATAATTTCTTTAACAAAACAAGATCTAATATTTTTGTATAAAAGTCTTTACCAACCATAACTGGTGATAACCATGGTAGAGTTAAAATAAATACTAACTCATTGATTAAAGTGAATACTGGAGGAAATTTTTCATTTTTAAAACTCTTATTTCCTCTTCTATACAAGGTAGACATGAAATTTGATTTGGCTTAGAACAGTGGTCACCAAACTTTTTTCACAGCGGGCCAGATAACTGAGAAAATGACGAGCACGGGCCGCATAACCAGTTTGTTCAATACAATACAGTGAATATACAAAAAATAAAGA